ATAGAATTCACTTGTCCAGTAAAGGGAAATGCTAAAGAAACTTCAAATGCCAATAGAAGTTTCTTGTAAACACTTTATTATATAGAGAAAAGTGTCATATTCAGGTACAAATGAAAAATTTCTCTCCAGTTTTAGATAGATATACCTATTTTCAGAGTTCTAGAAAAGAAAAAAGGGATTTTATTCTTTGAAAAGAAACTTAAAATTATAATTTGCAGCCTGAAAAGTTATAGTTTGAAATTATTTACTAATTATCTTCCATCTCAATAAATATCAGTTCCATTTTATTTAATTTAATGGGAAAAGTGTGTGATAGCATGGTCTGAGAGAGCAGGTTCTAGTTTGGGCAGCCACTAGCTATTCGCTGTTTGACCTTGAGTAAGCCACAATGTAGTTGAAATGAATTTCTTCATATGTAAAATTAGACGTTAAAAGTTACCTTTCTTAAACTATATGCAAGATTGTACTTTTTAAATCAATAAAGTATGAACAGCTGAGATCCAAGAAAATCAGATAAATTCTATTTTCTGCTGTTTTTTTTTAGTGCAAAGCATACTGCTAATGCCGGCTTAAAAAGCTAAAGAAAATGTTGCATTCAAATTATTTTTGGCAGCTGTATGGAAGGCTGACAGTCTCACCTTGTGTTTCTGTTTGGGAGGGGCTCTGTAAGAGGTGAGACTAGACATGCAGAGTGAATGTGGGGGAGGGAGGAGGCATAGACACTGGCCAGTCACTTGTATAGGGATGTACTAGCTGAACACCAGCCTCCTGATGTGGCACTATCCAAGTAGGAGGTAAAAACATGCTGCGTGGAGGGAGGGAAGGAGTGAAGATTCTCTTGGCCTGTCAACATGGCAGTGACAGACCCTAGTGTTCCCTGTATCTGTGTCTCCCTTATTCTATTCTTTTCTATGTTGGGGGTGCAGATTCAACTCTTTGAGGTTATACAAAATGATGTAGCATTTGCATATAATCTTTACACACCCTCCCCATACTTGCATGATTTTAATTTTGTGAGTCCAGAACAAATATGTTTTTTTTTTTTTCTTTTTTGGAGACAAAGTCTCAAGCTGTCACCCTGAGTAGAGTGCAATGTCATCACAGCTCACAGCAACCTCAAATTCTTGGGCTTAAGCAATTCTCTTGCCTCAGCCTCCCTATTTTTTTTTTTTTT